TTTTGTTTTAAGAAATTGCTAAACATTTTCGTCTAGTACTGTACAGTTCTAGCCGATCTCCTAAGACCGCCCATCGAGAGCTCTGCTCGTTCAAGCTTGTTCCAACTATTTCTGTCTTGCTCACGCCTAGTGTGTATTCTTTCTATCTTCGCGCAGATTTCTTCAAGGTCACAATTCAAACAAATTGAAATGGGCTGTATAAGGTAGTATAAAAAAGAATACCTGTCGATGAATAATTTATACACATACAAAATAATAGACAGATTAGCTGATTTATTAATCCTTTGACTGTTAATTGATTTAATCGATAATAAATTAGGATCAGGAAATTAGACCATATTTAATATTTTATTAATTATTGGATTAGAATGTACTTATATAATTATCCAAGAAGGCAATCAAGTATTTTTTTGGTTTACACGATAAAGAGCAAGAAGCTTAAACAGTTTCCTTGAGTGTGTACCCTGGAAAACACGAAAATGCCATTTAATCCATTTTCTTCCTTGATTATAACTGATCTTACGTTCCTTAAGTCTTAGACTTCCGCTTTTTAAAACGATTTCTTGTTTCCCTTCAGATGTCGATGGAGATCCAGGCGGAGATTTAAACGACTTAGGAGTTACATTTCCGTCACCGGAAGAGATCAAACCGGTAGAATTTGTAACGGCGAACAGCACGATCATTACATCTCAAACCGGATCAAAAGCTCTATTACCCTGCGTCATCAGTAACATTGGAGATGGAATGGTAAGTTGTTATAATTTTGAAAATACTGATGCAAGCACTACTTTCTATTGTTTTTGCTTTCTCCATAGAATATTTTCGAAAGTCTTTCATACATATGTAAATACAGAGCAGAGTGAGATAGGAATAATTTTTAAATATAAATTCAACGCCTATTTTTTATATTAGCTAATCGACTTTCGTCTTTTTTGAGCTTTTCAATTTAAGCTTTTTTCAAAAATTGTAGTAAGTTGTATTTGTTCTTCCATTAAAATGTAATAAAAAAAATTAAAGTGTTGTTGAACTACAGATGTTTGATAACTACAATACTTACAACAAAATTTCGAACAAGTCTTGATAAGGGTCAAAAATATGATTAACCGAAACGTCGACATTTTAATTAAAAATTTCCTTTTTCAATACACTTTTCACTAATTTCACCTTTAAATTTTGAACCTATTAATCGAAGAATAAATACAACTTACTACAATTTTTGAAAAAGAGTTGCATTGATATATAAGTGGTAATCAAAGTTTAAACTTTTTTTGATAATACCAGTACAAAAGAAACAAAGTGTGTATATATGAGAAACTTTGAATTTGTATAGGGTTAATTCAATATATGGGTGCTTCCATGAAAATAGGGCAACTCTTTGATGTAATTAGTCTTTACTATTTTTTACATACTGTGCAATTTTAAATTAGATCGATAGAATAATTAATGTTCAAAAGGGCCAGTCACTTTGTTTAGTATTTAAAGAGACATTCAGGTTTTTGTAAATTTAGACGTCTAGGGACTTACACATATAGCTACGGACTGATGAAAATTATGCTGATATAATGTAATATAAGATTTTTTAAGGCAATTAATGTAATAAAATTAGATTCCTACACAGGCATAGCTTCACTTTTATTAGGAAAGTATTTAAGACAGTATCATTATTAATTAACCTAAAAAAATGTTAATCAAGTGTAGCTTTCGCTAAAATTCTTTAAGATAAGGTAAAAAATAAAACAAACGAGGCCCTTTGCTCTATGAAGTAATAATTAACAAAATAGGCGCCTTGATTATAATCAATCTCAATCGATCAATCAAGCGAGGGACTGACGGGTTAGGGACTGACGATTCAGAAGAAAACCTGCGAATATTCTGTTCGGATATATATACCACAATACCTAACGTCATTTAATGAACAGGGCTTACAAAACAATACTAAATCGTTGACAATTAAAAGCAATTGCCTACTATTTAATATAAAAATTGCTTACCGAGGGACTGAAAAAGTCACTGGAACAAGGCGTGCTAGCCATCTTACGCCGCGATTGCACTGAATTACAAAATGGCCGACACAAGGCGAGTGGCATTTGCAGATAACTTCATGTCTATACTTTAAAATGAACTGATTCTCATTCCCTCATTCACGATAATAACTACGTAATTTCAAAATTCCTAAGCGACTAGGGCCTGATGGTTAAAGTCGCGGACACAAATTTAACTTACATAAATGTAATGTTGTTTTCGAAATATTATTACTTTATTGATGTTAATAGGTAAATAGTAATATTTTTAAATGTCTTGAATAAAATAAAAGTGTATAAAAGGAATGCTTTTTCAGATATTCGTGGACAAATACAAAATTTTGGTAGGCTCTTTTATTAAATTATGGAATATAATTTCATCTGGCTTACAAACTGTGAAACAGCCGTTTACTTCGACCACATAATCCTGAATGACCCAACCCCATATTCTAACTTCTAAAAAGTTCTCAAAGGCTCCATTGTTTACATAATGAAAACGTAACATATAACCTAAGCAAATAACAGTTAATATCGTGAACACTATAATGATAAACGAATTATTCAGTATATTGGCCCTGCAATAAATTTCTACTTTCATATAGGGTGTGGCCCATATACAGGATCCTCTAGCATTCGGACGCTGACATATACGAGGGCGATTCAATAAGTACCCGTGTTTGAAGACCGAAAACGTTCCTGAGGGAAATTGGTCTTGTGCTGCCATCTATCAAACCACGCCAAAACGAATTTCAGACTGATTGATAGGTTAGTTTGGATTTGGCAGCCATTCGACTGAGACGTGTTTCGTTATTTTCGCTAAAATGGAAAAAGAGCAGTATCGTTCGGTAACTCGCTTTTTGGTTTTGGATGGGAAAAAATGCGGGGAGATGAAAACAAAGTTGGATACTGTTTATGGAAACATTTCGCCATCTATGACCACAGTTGGATATAGCTTCAACGAATTTAAACGTGGGCAAAGATCCGTTTTTGATAGGAGTGACCAGGAAGCCTGGCAAACGTTGTTGCCGAGGAAAACATTTTACAGATTTTTTAGGAAAAGGAAGAACGATCACTGGACAATACTACAGTGAGTTATTGGACCGCTTCGACAAAAAATTGAAGGAGACACGGACGCATTTGACGAAAAGGAAGGTGCGTTTTCAACACGATAACGCACCGGCACATTCATCAGGAGTTGTTGCCGCCAAACTGCAGGAATTACGTTTTTAACTGCTGCCGCACACCCCGTACTCACTCGATTTGACTCCCTGCGACTTCGTCTTGTTCCCTACCATGAAGAAATGACTCGCGAGAAAAAAATTTAGCTCATACGAGGGACTCATCGCCGAGATATAGGGGATTTTGGAGAGTTCGACAAAACTTATTTTTTGGAGAGGTAAAAAAAATGGCAAGGACGTTGGGAGAAGTGTATCTTTCTAAAAGGGACTATGGTGAAAAATAAAAAGAAAGTTATAAAAAAGAGGTGTCTTCATTTCTAACACGGGTACTTATTGAACCGCCCTCGTTGAAGTTATACTTCTATTTACATATTTATAAAGCCGGTGTTAAATTATTATACCTATTAATACATGAATGTCAAAACTTACTGTACTCTCTATCGGTATTTATTATAAATGGACGGGGATGAAACTTATATCATAAGAGACTTGTGTCACAGACGTGTAGAAAATAAGAATCATTTGTGTGTTTGCGCGCATCCTCCCCATTACAAGTTACGTCGTAACGTCCGACAAATAACGCAACTTCAGTCGTATACTAAAATTTTAATCTAAACGAACCAAAAGAAATTGATATAACTTCAAAGACTAAGTGACGTCGAAAAAGTTAGATAGTATTTAAAAGCACATTATCCTTCGCATAATTTGTACATTTTTAGAACAATTTGTCAACACTCATTTGATATGACGCCGTAAATTTTAACTCATTTAGCAATGAGAATGATAATTGCATCAATTTTTGCTTTAATTATACTTAGTACATTCGAAGTGGTAAAGTTCGCAAGTTGGATACTCATCTGGTTTCAAAAAAAATTTATTCGCCAATATCTTAAATCGACCTTCAGAGTGAACATTATTCCGTTAAACTAAAAAAAATTTTGGAACGTAAATCAACGAAAAAATGAGTTTCGAGTTTCTTTAACGGTGAGATGTAGGAACACATGTGAATAATTTCTATACAAAAGTTGTAAAGCCTTTAAAGTATTTCGTGACCAATGTGTATTGCAGTCAACGATATTGAGAAATTATTTTATGGCTTCCATGTACACCCTGTTTTTACACTATTCGTTGAAAAAAGACTGACTTTTACTAAATACTTTAATGAAAACTATGTGCACTTGTTTTCTAATATAACTTCTAGTATTTAAATATATTTACGATTTAAACTTATAATAAAGATTTTGAAATGGAAATGATATGGAAAAATTGAACTGGACAAGATTCAAAAAGCGTCGTGCATCGTTCCTGAAGGGTCTTATTCCCGGTTTTCTTATAAAAAAATCGGTTGTCTGTAAAGTCGGTTTACTGACGATAGTTGAACATGACAACGTCATAAGAAAATACTGATTGAATGGTTTGACACCACATTCACTTTTCACTGCACTTCATACTTGACGAAAACATGTAAATGTATTATTGTATAGCATCTGTCCACGCGGACGCATCGCTCACTCAAGTAGGAGAGAGACAGATGTCGAACGCTGCCGAACGCGGAGACCGATTGTGCCTCTTTGTCGCTCGTTCCGCGCTCTCGCTTGCAATTCAAGCCTTAAATGGAACGCCTCAGAGCGAGGTAACGCCGCATGAGTCATGTTTTTTCGGGCGTGCAGCCGGCTCCATCGAATTATAAGACGTTGTCACGTCAAAAGCAGGCACACGTTCGTGTAATTATTGCATCGAAAACGCAAAGTTTAAACCTTTTAAAATATTTGCTTAAAATAAGAAAAAACATAAGCCAACTATAGGTACTATAGAATATAGATATTAATTATTAACTCTCACCAAACAGGTATGGATTATAACACAACATATGTATATCTGTATGTTAAAGTTAATTCACAAATTGATAAAAATGCTGAAAGGGTTGTCACATATCAATATATATATATGATCAATTCAAGACGAAAATTGCCTGCATCTGTAGATATTTTTTTTTTATGTTTTCGTGGAAGAGGGGAAATCTTCAGAAGACACCCAGCCGTCCGTACGACTGGGTAGTGTCGGATTCCCGAGGAAGAAGTCCTCGGACCTACCGACTAAAACCCCTCTACCTCAGGCCGTTTTAGGACCAACTTGGGTCCTCTTTAGCCGATCTGTAGATATGTATACCTACCTATATCGAACTTTTATGTTTGGTAGTTAATACTTTAATATTAGTTTATTACTTCCTAGTAGAATAGGAAACTACCCTCCAAAGTAATCTAAATCAATGAAACAAACAAACGGAGCATGCACTTCCACACTGTTTATTTTACCTGCAGTGTTTATAGTTGGAGAGAAACCTAGTGGATAATTGTTGATGAACAGGACTGCTGTGCACATAGAGGATTGCATGTAAACACTTTGCACATTGCGATGTCTGTATTGCCAGCGGACAGCAATTACTAGCGGTTACAATATCTTGCTTTGCATCATCAATACACGAACTACTGACAGTTAAAGTATTCTACATAATGAATGCATAGTAGGTACATGAAAATTAAACTCT